AGGACACGTGGTGGCAAACGAATCAGAGAGAACGTGGACAGAGGCCCAGCGTCCCACCTGGTTTCAGCGTCGCGCTCCTGTCAGGCCTTCTCCCAGCTTCTCCCTGCCCAGCAGGGGGCGCCCTCCATCTGCCCGCGGCGTCCTGGGCCTCACAGGAACCTGGGGTCTTGGCACCAGAGCAGGTGGAGGGAGGCTCGGAGAATCCGCTGCCTGGGGTGCTGTGATTGATCAGTGATGCCTGGCACAGCCCCGGAGGGAAGCCAGGAAGCCTCAGGAGCACCTGCACCTGCCCTGGGAGTAGCCTGCCCAGTGCCCCCTGTGCACACTGCCTGCCTCACAGCGAGCCCCGCCTGGGGCTCCTGCCAGCACAGGCGGCTCTACCGCACAGCTGGATGTCTCCTTTCAGTCCAGGCTGAGCCCCAACGTCTTCCCAGGTGTTGGAACTTCAAACGGAAGTCAGAGCTCGCACTGGAGTGTGCTCCTCAGCCAACAGGAGTCTGGGCAGACGCTCCTCCAACAGGCGGCCCCACCGTTTTCCTTGCCGGTCTCCAGGTCTCAGCGTGGCCCCTGGGGACTGCTGGGGACAGGGACCGAGGCCCCCACCGCTCTCCTCTCCTCTCCTCTGCCCGGAAGATGCTGAGAGCAGAGCATAATAAGCTTGGGCACGTGCCAGCTTACAACCTCTTCCTACCCAAGACTAACCCAGCAAGAGCTTCCTATGCCCACTCCAGCCAGGGCACCTCAGGGCATCTAACCCGGCCCAGCGCTGGCGCCTCGCCTCCCTCCTGGCACTTCCCGTGGGGACCCACCTGCTGCATGCTGTCCAGTGGGGACAGCTCCCGTCCTCCCAAATGGCGAAGCCGGTGCCCAGCAAGGACAGACCCGCAGGACTCCTCAGGAGCACAGAGAGCCTGACCCACGCCTCTGGGCGACGCCAGACGCCATGAGCCCCCTTCAGCCTTCCAGATTTCTGAGGGGATAGGCTCAGGTTCGACTCTGGGAAATTAGGACAAGGACAAAGGAACATGCCAACTTTCTGTTACCAGGACAAACCTGTTTTCACACGAGGGTCCGGAGCCTTTCCTAGGCCCTTCCCTTCAGTGCTGGGGGTTGCTGGCGGTGCTCAGCCTGGGCCCATGCAGCCAAAGCTCTCTGTGCCACGTGGGTCTTAATAAGATCCACGGCGAGCTTTTCTTCTCCATCTTGTTAATCAGGACACGTGGAGGCAAACGAATCAGAGTGAACGTGGACAGAGGCCCAGCATCCGATGGACCAGCAATCCCTGGGGATGCCCACAGCCCTGGAGGCAGCCGCCGGGCCCAGGCAGGGAGCCTGCTCTGCCCTTGGGACGCCCAGTCTGACACTGTCCTCTGCTTCAGCCGAGCGCCTGCCTAACTGCAGGGCCAGAACCAGGCTGCCTTCCGAGGCCTTCAGCACCACTGAGCTGACCTCCGGGCACCCTCCCCACTGCCTCCTTCAGCTCCCAGCGCCAGGTCCAAAGGATGCACGTGACACATCGCGTGTTTCCTTCCAAAACTCGGCCATCCCTCGCCCAAGCACTGCTGCAGCCACGGGCCACGCCAGCTCCCCACACACATCCCTTTGCCTCCTGCTCCCCATGGGCACACTCCAGCAGTCAACAAACTTAAGTTCAAAAAGGAATCATTTCCCACACAAAACTAAGATTTCAATGTAAATTTTACTATTTTATTTGTGAAAAAACTACAAGCAGAATTCATAAATAGACATTTCTATTTAAAGCAGGAAAATGATAAAGTGGCTTCTAATAACACAGTCGTGCACATGCCAGCAACAGGAATATATTAACATCTTTATTTGCTAGACGAAGAGCAGTGTCCAATATAAATTCCCCAAACACTTAAGACCTGTGAATTTCTGACCAGTTCACAAAACCACCAACTGACACTTGCATGTGAAGAAAAATCAGACCTAAGACTCAGCTATCAAGACGGACAGAGCAGAAACCTCCGAAGCGAGACAAGCCGTCTTCCTGGGAAAATGAAAAATATAGCTCGTATAATACAGTAACAAAAATTCACAAGATTATGTTTGACATACTTAACAAGCATTCTCTATTTGTCTCCAACAAACAAAGCTAAGGAAATAATGTAACCATCTTTACACAGTAAATTAAGGTTACAGGTCATACACAAGAACAGAACTGCTTGCGCATTAAAAACTGTTCAGCTCCATTGTCATACTTTAAATGTTGGCTCTTAAACCATTTTCGGTTACATACAAGCAAAGGTTATTATATATTCAGCAATTAATAAATTTTCAATAATTTACGATATGGTAGCTTAGAAAAGTAGGCTGAGAATGGTCTTGATAAGGCAGGTGAGACGTCTTTGTGGAACGCAACTCCCAGAAGCTTCTGCCATTGTTCCCAAACATCCAGACTGAAACAGAAGGGCTTGGATTGAAATGTTCTGTGGGTGTCGTACTTCACCTTCCAGCTGCTCAAACAGAGCATGTCAGGTAAGCTGTGTGCTCGCGCTGAAGGTCGGGTGGTTAAAACCAATGGAGACTTGCAAGGGTAACACTGTGCTTTTGTTTTGGCTTTATGACTGCTTACTGTGCTACCGAATACCAGGTATTTCTGACCCTTTAATGTATACCTTTCTAATCTACACTAGCGTCTGTACACACTGCCCACCCGTGAGGCAAGCGGCAAATGCAGGAGGTTCCACAAATTCCGTCTCCAGAGCACACGTCTGAGGGATCTCAATGTCAGACATCAAGCGCCCACCACCCCGGAGCAGCCTGCAGGGCAGGGGCCGGCCAGGACACGGGCCCGGCAGGCTCCTGCCACTTGCAGTTCCACCAAAACGGCCACGTCATCCCACGATCCTAACGCACCCTCATCCGTCACCTCCTGTTCTCTGTCATCACGGAGGCAAAGCCAAAACCCCACAACACTGGCCATCGTTAATCAGCCGCCCAGTAGCTGGTTCCTCAGCTTTCCTCACTAATCCAGGAGTCCAATCGCTTTACCGGAGACTGATTCTGAAAAGCCACACAGTGTTTCTGAAATGCACACCAACACTTTATGGTTCGGAAAGCAGTGTAACCCACGAGTTTGGTGACATCTAATTTTTCTTATTAAAAAGGTAATTTTCAAACTTAGCAATTCCTTAAATCTCTGGAAAATAAATATGGCTGACTAATTTACCCTCCCTGAGACCCTTAATAAAAGGAATATTAAAACTTTAGAAGGAATGTCTTTGCAATATCCCACGAATATTAAATTGTGGATTTAAAATTCATAGTCAAATCACTATGTATTATATATTCTGATACTTACAGAAAGCATTTGATTTCCTTTGGTTCATTAATAAATACTTGAAAAGGTATCTAAAAAGGAAAGCACAGCTCGCATCCCAGATGCAAGCATCACTGTGAAGAGGGCCGTGCCCGAGCGTTGGCGAGCGGGAGCGCAGCCCGCGGCACTGCGTTGGACCCTGTGCTTGGAGAGCAGACGGAGCTCGTGCGCAGGAGTAACGGAGACCTGGCGGCAGGGGAAAGGAGCGGCTGTTCACTCTCCTTGTCCCTGAGGCCTCCAGACAGAGTGACTTCTATTCTTCAGCATACCAGGCTTCTCACCCCCGGGGGCTTCCTCACAGCCAGCTGCCCTCCCAGGCACCCCCAGGTATGACCGATAAAGGAAGGCGGCGCCGAGTCCCCGACATGACTGGAGTCTGGGGCTCCGGACACGCGTGGTGGGAGTTACACAGAAGAGACATAATCCGAATGACAAAACGACGCTGTGAAACGCTGGCAGTGGAAACCTCAGTGGCCTTTGTCGCCGCCGCCCCCCTCCCCACAGTAAAAACCGGGTGAAAAGAAACTTCACAGCAGAGCTTACTGACTGTAACCGCAGACCCAGGAAGGAGCCCAGGCTCCCACAGTGCTCTTCCCAGCAGGGTGAGCCTGCAGGTCCTCAGGACAAGGAAGAAAACAATCCCCACCACTGAAACCACTGCATAAAGGAACAGAGGGGAAGGAGGGCAGGAGGCAAACAATTTCAATGACAAAACCACCAGGGAAGGCCTGGGGTTCGCTTCTTGTATGGACCAAAAATGCAGTTTACTCAGGTTTAATCCTAAAACTAAGCGACAGTTCATAGGCTGACCTCAGCCCCCGCAGAGGCCTGGGAGCGGCGGGCCGGTGGACAGAACGCCGTGTTTTCACGGGCGCCACGTGAGGCAGCACTGCCGCCGCCGCCGCCGCCCCTCGGCACAGCCCGGCCAGCACGGAAGCGTCCGGAAAGGGAGGCCACACCGCGGAACGACCTGCTCTCCCATCAGCCACACTCTTCACACTGCCACACGCCTGTGGGCCGGAGCACAGCTCGTGTCAGACCGGTTTTAATGCAATGTCAGCGCTTCGTAGAAGGGACGGTCCCGGGTCTGTAACTGTTCAAGGTTGTACTCACTTCACAGTGTATCAAGCACCAGCGTTGCCATGGATTGGTTTCAAATAACCCTTTATATATAATTTTATATTTATATATAGTTATATCAAAACTGATAGTACATAGTATAACTGGAAGAAAGAAATAAACTTAGAAGGTTATGCTGAGAGGATGGAGCTTGTGAACATAATAAATAAAAGTTCCCTCCCCCTCCCAGGCCACCCCCCAACAAAACAAAAACAAAAACCAGTTGTAATGTACATGGAAAATTGTGCACAGCAGATTTTTTTTTTTTATATATAAAAAGTAGATTCAGGAGCACATCCAATTATAAATGATTGTTAGGAAAATCATATAAAACAATGGAATACATAAAAGTGTCAAGAGTAATCGTCAGGGTACGAAATTCCTTGGTGGCCAAACGCCCATGGCAAGCAGACACGATCCTGGCAGCATGGCGATAGGCCGATGTCCACAGAAGGTTCTCCAGGCGCACGCAGCACGGGCAGGTGGAGGTGTGAATTTCAGACCCTGATTCATAGTTTCCACGACTCCATGTGCAATTTCAGAAAGACTCGTCGTTCACTGCGGACAGGTCGCCCTTGGGCGTGGAGGAGCGGGAGGAGCCCTTGTCTGTGCTCTCCGAGCCCGAGCTGCTCTGGTGCTGCTGTTCGGAGCCTGCGCTGGAGGTCACTGTGGAGGAGGACGTGGAGGAGGAGCGAGTCTTTTCCTTAAAGTCTGTGATGATGACGGTCACGTTACCCACAGTCACTGCCAGCTGCTGTGCGGTGCTCCTGTCCACGTTTTTCAGCCGGGGCCTGAAAGCACCACCACGGGGACAGTTACATAAGCTACGGATTAGAAGTGGTTCTGGCAGACATCAACACACAGATTCATGACACCCACCACATGCCACGGCTGACCATAAAACCTGCAGCTTGCCCTCAGCAGTCCCAGAAACCACCGCCGTTAGCAAAGCTCTGGGCCTCTCCAATATGATCAATGCATCTGTCTCCTGTTTGCCACAGCGATATAAAGCAGCGTGCGCACACGCAGCTGACAGTCTCAGACCTAGTTCTCCCCCTACCCCTCAGCCTATAAACCCACAGGTACGGAGAAGGACTCAGTGCACCAGAGCAGCACTGAGCTCTGCGTTCTAGATTCCGTACCTGGAGGTGTGGTTTGACTCGCTGGTCTTGGTTGTAGCATTTGCAGACTGTATGCTGTTTGCTTCACTCGGGGGGTCTTTCAGGACATCGGACTTTGGTCTAAAGGGGCGGGGGACCAAAGAGAGACATTTAAAAGGAATCTCTGACTCACCTGCAGAGCAACACATCACGCGAGTTAGCCGGGAACTTACTTTGCTTTCTTGTTGGTGTTTTTCTTGGTAACACTGGGACTGATCTCCTTATCTTTCTCGGGTTTCTCTTTGTCTTGCTTTTCAACTTTCTCCTTCTTCTCCTTCTTCGGGGGTGGTGGGGTGGCATACTGCTGTGCCACCTGTTGTGCCACCAGCTGAGAATTGATTCGAGGTTTCCTAAAACATTCAAGGAAAGACACACCATTACTTGCTTTATAAATGCTAGTCTTTATTTTGGTCTTCCAGTTTCTTAGATATTTACACTGGTGTCTGGCATCTCAGAACTCAATTGGATGGTGCTATCTCTACGTTACTGCTGCCCTGTAGCATGGAGGAGTCTCTTTCAAACTCACTGCTTGCGCATCTACCTTTAAGGGCACGTGCAGGTGCTTGCACGAGCAGTGAAGTGCCTCAGCCATGAGGGCACTGCGTTGGCTCGGAGTGTGGAGAGAGAGCTGCTTCTTCTGAGCTGTCAGGATGACACAAATGCCCCCACCCCTGCAGAGGGTTCACCTCTCTTCATTACATGGACATGATAACCCCTGAGAAGGGGATAAAATCACAAGTGTGACATCTCCCCGCCATGATCCCGAAGTGGTCTGCTTCCTGCAGCTCTGTGACTGGCATGGACAACAGACAACACAGAGCAAGAAAGGGGGTGGAGACGGAAAGTCACTATAAAACCCTTAGATGACACGTCCGTTGTGAGAGCAACCGGCTGTCGCTGGCTCTCAGCACGGTTTGCCAATTGTTGTCACTCGGCACGACTGCAGGCCACGTGGAGGCAGCGGAAAGGAAGCCGCACAGCGCTCCTCTCCACAGACAGCCACCCGACGGACATTCCGGCGCGAGGCAGGGAACCCAGAAACCGGATCCGCTCTAGAGAGGAAATGCCACCACTAATGACGCCCTCAGACTACAGCTCCCTCTGCTCCCCAGGATGGAGGGCTGGACAGAGAAAAGCAAACCAAAACGAGTTTGCTGGATCCATGGCTGCCCGCGCTAGGCACGGTCTGCTCCGAGCGGCCAGCGCTCGTGGCATGTGCCTTCGCCAGAAACATGCCAACAGAGGCCTGCTCAGAGCCAGTCAAGGACACCTCAGACTGGGCCACAGAGGTCACGGGGCAGGGCTTCAAACAGGTGGGAGCTCCCCTAGAAAGGGAGGCAGGGGATCCCCTAAGCCACACCCCCAGCAGGAGCCTCCTCCATCTCAGGCTCTAACCGAGGCAGCCGGAGCCATCCACAGCAGTGTGGTACGGGCACCTCACAAAGAAGGTCATGCATCGCAGACGCGAGCTGGGGACACAGCAGCTTGCTGTCCACAGGGATCACCAGCCATGTCTGTCAGCGTGCCACCCACACCAGCCCGACCCGGCCGGGGTGAACCTGAGAACAAGCCATTAGGACTCAGAAGAGCTGCACCTCGAGGAGAACCGTGTGCAGTGCTCCGGGAGTCTCACCGAGAACAGGAGGATGTCTGCACACCGGTCCAGGAGGACCTCAACAGAGCCACCAGGTGCCTGGCCACTCCAGGACGCCTGCCCATCATGGCGTCACTACCACGGGCACTGTGGCTGCCAATCTACTTATACTCCTCAGTGGCAAAACTGCACCCTAATCATCTCCGATAGTGAAATGATCTACTGGGTAAACAGCGAATACACACACCTTGCAGAGAAAACAAAGCAGAGGGAGGACTGAGGAGAGGGCCAGGGGTGCCAGGGAGTCACTGCTGCCTTTAGAGCAGGCTGAGGGGAGCAGGCTGCAGAGCCTCTCTGAGAACCTCCTAGACAGAAGGGTGAGCAGGTTGGAGATTTCTGCAGGAAAGGGAGACACCGTGTGTTGTGCGCTCAAAGAGGAATGAAGACCGACGGCCACCGAGTTAGGAGTGAACTTGGGACGGAAGAGAGAAAGTGCACACTCACGAAGGCTGGGGAGAAGGGGGACACTTCCTCTGAGACGGGAGAGGGATACTAGGTAAGGGGCTGAGCGGAACATGGAAATGAAAAGGCAGAGAAGGTTCAGAAACCACGAGCATAGGCACAGCGCTGTCTGGTGGGCAGCAGGCAGAGCAGCAGCAAGAGAGCTGGTGACGAGCAGAGGCGGGATTCCGCATCTCACACCCGGCCTGAGTGGCCCGAGCACAGTGTGCTTTAGGGACACTCAGCTCCCGACAAGCTTACCCAGGATGGGCCGTCCCCTCCTCTGGCACTCCACTCGGCTACGGGCATCCTGGACACCAGGGAGCTGCCATTGCCATGTCTGCCATGGGCAATCCTCTAGCATGTCGGCAAACACCCCCAAAGTTCTTCAGCCCACACCACAGTCCAGGATCGGCAGCACAAACTTACCATGCGCCAGGTGAGATGGGCTACACCCTTCACAGGCAGCACGCGTGCCCGCGCGCCCCTAAGATGGTGACTAGAATGGAGGCCAGTCCAGTGCCCCTCTCCTCTAATGCTCAGCCAAACAACAGTTCACAAGTGAGGAGCCAAGGCTCTCTGGGATCTACCCGGTAGCAAGAAAGTAGAGGCCCGGTGCACAGACTTGTGCACAGTGAAAGGGAATTATCTAGAAGGTGGAGGTGGTGGTGTGTGTTGGGGGGGGGGGGGGGGGGGACTGGGTGAGACGGGCCAGACACACCTGAGCCAACCTCCCAGGTCCCTCTCCAGTTGGCCTCACCTGGGGCGGTGCTGGGGCTCAAAGGGTATCTGTGGAGTGAGTGGGGTCCCTCAACCTGGCCTGTGAGGATGGGGCCAAAACCAGCCGTCTAACATCCCCCGCCCCCAGGGCTTCCAGAGTGCAAGAGGGCACTCTGCAAAGCTGCTGTCGTGTGGCAGCTCCTGTGTTGAGCAGATGCCCTCTGGTGGTCAGTGTGTGTTCATAGCTACCGGCTGGGCATCGGTCGCTTCAGCTTTTATATATATAGGTTATTATAGCTGCTATTTCAAGTGAATTCTCCCAGGACCTAGGGATGTGGGTGAGGTAGAAAAATACACCCAACACGTTTGGAAAAGGCCCACAATGCTTCTGAATAAAGAGCTACTAGCACTTCCTGGCTCAAAACGCAGCACAGCCCCTTGGAAGGGGAAAGGGAGGAGACCCCTTGCTCTTGCAATGAAGGTGCTACACACCCCTGTGCTCCAGCGGCTTTTGCCATGTGCTCTGACTGCGTGTGACAGAATGGAAAAGGCCAGTCCCCAGGAACAGAGCTGCACACACTTCGCTCCTGCACAGCCCAGGCCAGCTAGCTTCCAGGTCAGGCATTCCCAGCAGCGCCTGAAGTCAAAGAGGCGATGGTCCAGGCCGCCCAGCTGGATGGCCAACAGCCTCCAGAGGAGAAAGTCACTTCCCCTTCCACAAGGAAGACAAAAAGATTAAGAAACGTAGCTAAGGGTTAGGTAAGCAGCTGAGCTGGGATTTTTAACCCAAATCCATCTGAAATTCCCGTGTGTTCCTCTTACAAAGGAACTGCAAATGAGCCTCTCTATTTTGGAAGAGCCCAGACTTGTTTTTAGGTGTGTGTGTGGGGGGCGTGCCCCAGCAGAAGGTACTAGGATGAAAAGCCCAGGTCAACCCCAGTCTATGGTTCAGACACCTCCCGAGAGCCCCACTGTCCTCACTTGTCTGACAAGAGACCACTGGGTGTCCTTCAGAGAAGGGAAAAGGGGCAGGAGAAGCTGGCAAGAATGTCTCCCCTGTCTGTAAGGAATGAACCCCCATCAGATGGTGAACACTGCTGACCCCGACAGAGTCCTTCCCACAGATCAGCTGCTCAGGGAAGTCTTCCTGAGTCACACCACAACGCCAGCAGCTCGTCTGAGGGGCAGAACTTCCAAAGTGCTGTAAAAGTGCCGATGCTCCAGTGTGGGTCTCCACAATGACCCAGGTTTCCCAACTACCAAACCTTAAAGAAGCCAGTAACAGCCGCCACGACAGAGCAGAAAACATGAGATGTGTGTCCCAGACTCTGACAGGAGGGAGATATTAATATGAATTTCACTAAGTAAGTAGCAATATTAAATTATTTCTTCTAATTAATTCCCTTTTAACGTGCATGAATTTTGTGCACCAGGCTACTAGTAGTCAATAATATTGTAATAACTACATATAGTGTCAGGTGGATCACTTTATGAGTTATATTATATAAATGTCTAATTGCTATGTCGTACACCAGAAACTAATATAATATTGTATGTCAACTGGGAAAATATGCCTTCTTAAAATTATTTTATAAAACCTATTTTTATTTCAATAGAGTTTACAAGAGAAAATCTATTGTGAAATTGCAATAAACAGTCATCATCAGGAAAACGTCTATTTGCATTTAAACAGCTAATATTTCAGAAAAGTCTATTCCATAATAAGTGAAGTAAATCTTTATCTAGAGACATCAATTTGAAAAGGCAAAATTTCAGAGTTCAAGGGTACATGAGTGAGATCACAAAACAAGATACCTTTCAGGGTAGTTTTGCTATGTGTACCTGTGTCACTGGGGAACACAGGCAAATCCTGCCTTTTAAAGAGACAGGTCTACCACATACCTTTTCCTTTCCCTCCTGAGCACTCAGGGAACCTGAGATCTTGCCACTCGTTTCTCATTGTGATTCTTAGAGACCACAACAAGCAACAGGCATACAAGTCCTGTGGCACACATATCCTGGCCTTCCTAAAGGATCACTTGGCCTTTTTCATTTAAAATACACCAAAGGCGCTAAAATCAGACAAATCATCCATCAAGGAGAGGGGCCCTCACTGGTTTGGACTGGTTTGGACAGGTTCGATTCCGGTCAGGGGCATGTACCTTGGTTGCGCACACATCCCTAGTGGGACTGAGCAGGAGACAGCTGATTGATATTTCTCTCTCACTGATGTTTCTAGCTCTCTATCCCTTTCCCTTTCTCTCTGTAAAAAAACAATTGATGAAAATTATTTTTTTTTTTTAAAGGAGGGGGTTACAAATGGTGTTCAAGTTGCCATAGCTGGTTTGGCTCTGTGGATAGAGCATCAGCCCATGGACTTAAGGGCCGTGGGTTCGATTCCGGTCAATATCATGTACCTCAGTTACATGCTCAATCACTGGCCCTGGTTGTTGGGATACTTACGGGAGGCAATCAATCGATGTGTCTCACATCACTGTAATTCTCTGTCTCTGTCCCTCCCTCCACTCCCTCTAA